ATATGGCATTCATGACTTATGAGCAGACCTTTCCACCCCCTTCTACAGGAAATAGCTTGTAAATATCGCAAACTCTTTGTAGATAAAATCACAATTTTCATTTTTACCGACCACAAATCAAAATGCAATGATAATTTAAATGTGGGCACTACTCATTAATGTGATAACAGAAGAAATTATACAACACGCAATTTTCTTTCTCATTCTTTGTATCAACTTCTTTTTGGGGGCAACATTCAATTATTCACATTGATTGTGTCCGCATCATGACTTAGGCCTACCTGAACCCAACAATACAACTTAAAAAATCAAGTCCAATAATCAGGACTTCATAACTTGTGGTTCACTAATTTTTATATCGGTTATTTTATATTTAATATTCAGGAAAAAGTATATAATCTCAAAAATTTCATTCAAGTTTTGTTTTAATCTAAAAAATGATCTTTGATCTCATAATTTTAAGGATTTCAAAATGGCATTAATTATTATTACCAATGTTAAACTTAACCCGCAGGTAAATGAAGCGAAGTTGTTTCTTGTATCATTCATAAGAAGTTGTTTCTTGTCAAATGGATTATGACTACCATCAAGCATGCCAGGAGTTAATTAAATATATGTATGTGTATTAACAAGTATTTTAGAGATGTATACACAATATCATGTTATTGTGACCAATATTCAGCTTTGAACCAAAATCAGATTATTCATATTGTAAACACGTTATCTTTAATAATAATTATAATTTATAAATTAAATTTACAAATTGAGTTTTAAATTTGTTAGGATGTTATCCTTCAATATAATCTTTCAAAATGATTTTCTTTTAATTGCATATAATTACCACTTCAAGTCTCTCACGTAAAAAGTTGATTATTTGATTGAGTGTAGTGATTTTTGAAAAATACATATTATTTTCTTTTCACATGCAATATATAAAATATTTCAAAGAGTAATTAAAAGTCACACTATTTGCACATATTTTTTAAAGTCAATTGTGCAATTTTTCTTTGGGTGAATTAAGATGATATTACCAAAATAAAATATGCTTCAAGGAGATATTCAAAGGCTGTTTCGTGTGAAATGGAGTGTAACTTTGAGGTCTAGTTACAAATCAAATACTCCATGACAAATGGGTGGTTGATATGCACATCCAAGCAATTAAAATATGAAAACTTATATACGTTTCGATATATAACTAATAATCTTATTTTAAGGTACTTTCCATGGCCTGCCAGCTAGACTATAACCATAAATGAAATAAAACAATGGAAATGAAAAACGAAGTATTCAGTTTTATAATTTAATGCATTTGAATTTATTGAAATCATCATTTGATAGAAACTTCGGGAGTAAATCAAAACATTTTAGTATAAATTGCAAAAATAACGATCACATCCTCATCACTTTGTAGATTGCATCAAAGAAAAAAAAAATATTCTTTGTTGTTCAATTTCTTCAACTGTCACTTTGAGTTCGAAGATTACTTTATCAATATCTTATTTGATTTGTGGTCATGTCTACAGGGCCTTAAAGGACCCCAAAAAAGTATTTAATTTAGTAATGCGAAGTTTTTCCCCCTTTTATTGAAGGTATAATTTCATCTTTCATCTCTTGAACCCATTTATTACCTGATTGTAGAAGCAGGCACATGGTATTTGTGGCATCTTTAATATAAGAAGACTCACACTTAAGGAGGAAAAAGTTAGATTCTACAAGTGTGAGTGAACTTGAGCCGATATGAAAATCTCACATCGAATAAAATTAAGGCTTGATAACTAATGTAGAATAAAGTAAAAGTATCAATAAACTATTTATTGAGATTTAAGTTAAGATGTAGTATATCTCTACTATTCCTGTCCATTTATTCTCTTGTATTGTTTTTGAGTAATCACTCCTCATTCCTAACAAGTGATATCAAAACTCAATAAGCAAATGTCACACAAGACTTGGAAAAGCTCATACTACACACACATTTGAAGTTTAAAATGGAACTAGCTCTGACTATAGCAAGGATTTGTATGCACTACACTATTTGAAATCTAAAAATTAGGCTACCCTTGATTACAAGAACCATAGAGTTGGTGTTTGTTCCTTGAATCCTGCCACAAGTGTGTTTTCAAAGATCCCCAACAATATTATAGAACTGAGCATTCTTAACTTCTTTTCATTATAGTAAATATTAAAAAACAAATTGATTATATGTACATGTAGTAAATGTGTTATATAATATTAATGTTATGAAACTCTTACAAGAGAACCTGTTCTTTAAATATTTAGTAACCATGTGAAATGATGAGAACGAGGCAGAACACACAACAAAGATTTCTTTCATCAGTTTATATTTCATGGTGGTTTGATTTGTTGTAAATTTATAACCAATAATTTTATAGATAGTAGAGTTTATATATCCATCATGAAGAAATGAATAACTGTCTTGCCCAAAAATAAAAAAATAAAAAAAAGGAAATGCATAATTGAAGGGACAATGTATCCATGCAAGCTTCTTTTCAATAACGTTTTTATGGGATTACTCTCTATAGCTTGCCAGACTTGACCATAAATGAAAATGGTCCCAAAAGTGAAATTGTACAACACAGTGAAATTAAGGGGAAAAACTTCTTCTCATTAAAGTAACTTCTGGGCTTATTTTATGGTCTATCATACTTGACAACGAAAAAGTTAATGCAGCCAAAATAAAATTGTGGCCCTTAATCATTGAGGTAATGGAAAAAATTATACGACACACAATCTCCTTTTTTTCTTTTCACTTTTTCTACACAACATTTTCACATCATCAAATCAAATAATGTAATGTGGAATTTATCGTCACCTACCGAATTTCTATTTCAGAGAGATTTTAAGTGAGTGTTACTTTAAATTTAGAATTAATATTATTATACAATTTTCTGCTTTTAGACTCAACAAGCATGCTTGTCTTTCCTATTATTTTAGTTTTCAAACGAAAATATCAATTACGGCATTGCGTCCTTAATGTGATCTTTATTGTAACATATGGTGCTTCATTTTTAACTTGTACATGCGCACGTGCTTTAGTATATATCATTCTTCTTTCTAGAGTTCATTATCAACAAAAATTTAAATTTTTAAGAAAATTAGCTAATAGTTTTAAATCTTCTGAAAAAACTGATTTCATTTTTATATGATGATTTCATATTTTATAGGTAGGAAAATGAAATAATCAAAAATTTCATTCAAGTTTTGCTTTAATCTGAAAATGATCCTTGCTCATGAAAATTTGCTCTTCTCTTTCATTTCACAACTACTTTAACAGGACAACTTTTAATTTTTCATAGTTATTTGTGTTGATATTAAATGTTTTTCTTATGGGCCAGCCCATGTTCCCACGATGAGGTAAATCAAGGAAAATATAATGCAGCTTTTGACATTGGTTGCATGTGATATTTTTCTTTGAGTAATTAGCTAATAAAAGAACACTTATGAGCAATTAAAAAAATATACGTATAGAGATATTTATAAGCTATTTCATGTTAAATGGAAAACTGTGACTTTGAGGTCTACTCACAAGTCAAGCACTCTATGTACCTACAAAAGGACGATTGATATAGCACATCCGACTAAATTATGAAGACTGTCAAAAAGTCCAACACACCATGTGCTGAAAGAAATGTTATCAAACCATGAAAGTGAATGGATGTATTCTTTTTTAAAAAGAAAAAAGAATTTAATAATTAAAATTAGTCATATGGACTTATTGTTGGCCATCAATTTCCTAAGCTTTTCATATTAATTAATTAACTTTAATATTTTTTATATTAACTTTTTTCTTTGCAACCATAATTATTTTGGTTTGATAGCTATTGTTTAAAATTTCATAATGTTTCTTGTTTTAGAATTTTAGGTCATTATATTGGAGGTGATAAAGTTGATGTAATTAAACTTGTAAATCAGTTTGTCGTTTCACCAAATGATTCACTAAATGATGATAATTAAGGTTAATGAGCAAAAGTCGGTATTGAACAAAGGCTATGAACATATCTCCTTCAGATCATACAGTATTCATTATTTTATTACTTGTTGTATATACTTGGGCCTTTTTGTTTTGAGGGGGAAAAGATCACTTAAATTAACATTTGCCTGTGTTATTCGCAAAAAATTTTCTATACAATTTATGTATTTTATTGTATATTCATTAAAATAAATAAGCTATGAATACAAGACAAGTAGAGAATTAAAATTAATTTGAAATAAACACGAGTCAATGAAGTAAAACTCTACAAACTATGAGATTTCTATAGGAAACGGTATTCAAATTTGTATTGGGCTGCAAATTTTTCGTCCCTCTCTCCTTGTATTTTTGTTTTGATTATTTTGATTGATTGACTAATACGGAACCCATTCAATGCATGCTTTTTTATTTAAAACAAAATTGCTTGGGTTCCATTAAAAAAAATCACTCATTCCCGTAGAAATAGCACCGTGAATTACATATTCATCAATTGAAGACTCTTGATAGCTATAATATCCATGTGGTAAAATTAAACGAGAGAAGGTTAAAACAATATCTTCAGAAAACAGATATTATTTACCAAACGCACTAATTATAATTAATAATTTAGTTGAATTTCCTAATCTCATCCGGAGAGATGTTCTTTTAATTTTCCATTTGTTTTTGTGTTTGCATGCCTTGACTTGCTTTGGACTTGGAGAAGTATAAAATGATGTGTGTTTTCCTAGATACACAACTTGCAATTTTGGACAAGTCTGATATGCTAAACATGGGAAAATCTCTTTCCTTTCTTTTCCTTATGTTCTCACTCCATTCCTTCTTGTCCTCCTTAGCTTGGACTGATGCAAACATCACTATTGATAAATCTGCACTTCTTGGCCTTAAATCTTTTATCACTTCAGATCCACATGATTCCTTATCTATATGGTCTATTTCTTCTTCTCCATGTAATTGGGTTGGTGTTACCTGCAATACACGCCATAGAAGGGTCCATTCCTTGAATCTTGGTGGCATGGATCTTAAAGGCACCATATCTTCACAACTCGGAAATCTTTCATTTCTAGTTGAACTTGATCTCAGTAGCAACAATTTTTATGGTCAAATACCACGAGAGTTAGTTCAATTGAGTCGATTGAAACTATTGAACTTGGGCTACAATGGCTTTCATGGACAAGTTCCAGCATGGATAGGAGATCTATCTACACTCGAGCACTTAAATCTTCAAAATAACAGCTTTGATGGATTTATTCCACTATCTCTATTCAATCTATCAAGGTTGGAGACATTAGATTTGAATTCTAACTTAATTGAAGGAAGTACTCCTATTGAGGTAGGAAGACTTGAACACTTGAAAATGTTACGACTTTCAAGAAACAAACTTTCAGGAAGCATTCCTCAAATGATTTCCAACTTATCTTCAATTGAGTTATTACGTTTGTCTTATAACACTTTGTCAGGTATGTTTTGAATTATTTTTTATCCCTATGTTTATTTTTGCTCTAAATTGTTCTATTTGGTTAGCATGATATATTCCCCCAAGGATCATGTGGAAGGATCTTGGTTAATTTGTCTCGACTATTATATGTTCTTTTTTTATTGTTATACATGTTTTGATCAGTTCTCCTTTTCTTAAAAAATTATGAATTGTACTTTTTCAATAAATTACGTATGTACATGTGATTGGAGCATCGGATTTGTTCCTTTAATACAATGCATTCAAATAAGAGCCAGCACAGGAATAAGGAATATATTAGTCTTAATAACTGATCTACACGGCCATCGGTTCTTGAAAATGAATATCTATTCTAATATGTAAGACAAACTGAGGTAAAAGAATGGATTATCTTGATTGTAAAAGAACACTGCAAACTTGAATAAACAAAATGCATACTTTGGAAAATTCTTCCATATACTTTAGATATATTGACATATTATTCATGTTTTGATATTTGACGGAGGCATTCCAAATGAGATTGGTGATCTTCCACAGCAATATACAGATAATCTATCTGTCAAATAATCAACTTTCAAGCTCTATACTGACCTCTCTATTTAATAGTTCAGTTCAACAATAAGATTATCTTACTTTGATAGAATTTCTGTGTTTATAAATTGCCTTTCATTTTTCGTTTCCCACGTACATTATCTTTTTCATGGAAAGTTTTATTATTAGTTTTAAAACATACAAATCCATCCATATTTCTCAATGAATCACACATAAAAATTCACACACAGTACGAGACAAATTGACAACAAATTTATTCTATGGTTATTGGTCTTCCCAATTGTGGGTTGTGGCTTTTTAAAATTATGTTGTGAAAAATATGAATGTCTTGAGTATATATTATCTCGTGGCACTCTCTCTATCTAAGAGTATTGTGGCAAAGTAATTTTGATGATACATCCCATTCTCATAACAAATATATATGTTTATTCTCTTTCTACAGTATAGTTACTTTATATTCTTTGAACTCTTAAAAGATTTCATGCTGTCAATTAATAGATTTGATAAATCTCCCATGTTTAGTTCTACTATTATATATCATTTTTTATTGTTTTTATGATACCTATATCTATTTAGTGTTAAAAAGCATATTGTGAGAGCTTCTAATTGAATGCTCACTTTAATGCACCGCTACCTTGGTTTTATGCACGCTTTAATGTACCCCTCACTTGAATCTAAAAATGTAGGGCTTATTATTTTGATTTTTTTTTTTTTTTGTGGGTAAAATGTAGTGCTTATTCTATACTGCCCAACAATTTAAGCTGAAGATATTTTCATTCTTGAAGTAAAAGCTAGTTTGTTTAAACCATCAAATAAATTAATTTTTTTTTCATTTTTTAGGTGAAATTCCTTCATTTCTATGGAACATACCTTCTTTGAGAAAGGTTAAACTTGGAAGGAATCATTTAAATGGCAATTTGTCTAAAGAAATGTGTCATCAACTCCCCTTGCTGGAAATCTTGGATGCTGATGAAAATCAATTAGAGGGAAGAATTCCAAATTCGATAAGTAATTGTACATCTTTGAAAGAATTATATTTGAGTGCCAACTCATTTACAAGTATGCACTTATATACACATGTGTGTTTTTCCCAAAGTTATTATATGAATAAAATGTCAATTAACTCTGGATTAGAATATTAGATTATTTAATCCCAAAGTGATTATGGATAAAATGATATATAGGATATAAAAAATTATACCTTGGTGCTATTACATATATGTCTCTATACGTACATGTATGGGGTTGTGCTATTGGGGTGAATCGTTTTTATTTTTCTTTCTAACCTGTCGAATAGAAATGAATTTGAAATGAGATCATTTTGTTTACACACACATATATTTTGATGACACATACGCATGCAATGATGAAATATAATTTTAAATCAGTTATATTTGTGATAACTTTTCCAAATGCAAAAGTAACTACACATCTTTAAAAGGATTATATTTTAAAGGTTTTTATTACGTACGAGTGACAAGTTTTTAGGAATGTTTAATCTAGATGATTTGTAATATCTGCATTATCTATATTCACTATACCTATATAATTGGATAGGGATAATAGAAAGGACCACTTGGATTTTGATGCCTCTCTCTTGCCTTTTCTTTTTCATTTTCCCAGCATTTCTTTTGTGTGTATGTGTGCGCGCATGCTTTTGTTGTTTTACAAATATAGAAAACAACTTGGAAGGCATTAACTTCAATTATATCCATGATATGCCTAAATACATGGATGAGTTGTGAATTTTTGTTTCCAATATACAAGTTTTTACCAATATACTCAAAAAAGCTTTTCATGTTGTCAAATGCATTTTAAATAAGTATGTACTTTGTCATTTGTATTGCTACAAAAAATTTTATTTTGTATCAATAAAAAATATTTAATTTAAAAAAGAAAAAATCCCATATAAACAGTAGAATAAAAAATGATGATAGTATTATTTACATATATTGCTTTATGTGAGAAATAATATAAATTTAATAAACATAATTCCAATTATATCATAACAAGATTGACATTACTAATTACTGCTAATCTTAAATCAATAATTAGTGTAAAAATTTTAAAAAAAATTAAATTGTTTGAAAGTAAATCTTCTAACCAAAGCCCAATTATCACATATTCTGGTTCATTATTCCTTGCCTCACAGTTCAAGTCCATCTATAATTATTAAACATTTATTTCATATTTTCCCAAGAACTGTATATGTTATCTCTTTAGTTTATTTTATTTTTTAAAACTTATAGTAGACAAATTAAATAGACAAAAATATAATCATTAAACCCATTAATTACAAACATATTAGTTCAGAGTTGTGCTTTTTTCCCATTTAAATCATATTTGTCTGAGAACTGTATATGATAATTATTTTCTGCTATAATTATTAATCCAAACGGATCTAAAGGCACATCAATTTTTGAAAGTAATTATAACATTGTTTAAAAAACATTGTGAGAGCTGCTAACCATACAAGCTCACTTTAATGTAAAAAAAAAATAAGTGAAATTCTATCATCTTTCTGCAGCATTTCTTCTACAAGCTCACAATTTTTATTCTTTCTAAAACACCTATACCTGTTTAGTGTTAAAGAGCATTGTAAGAGCTTCTAATTACATGCTCAATTTAATGTAAAATATAAGTGAAATCCTATTAACTTTCTTCAAAATTTCTTCAATAAAAATAGATATAGCGACAAGTTATGGTTAATTCACCCCTTCCTTAATTGTATGCTTTCAAGGGAATTTTGTGTATTATTTTTACAGCTTTGCGTGGGTGACGAACATAGTGCTTATTCTATAGTTCCTCCAAAAGTTTCAATTGAAGATATTTTCATTCAAAAAGTATAGCCTTGTTTGCCTTCTTTGAGAGTTCTTAACATTGGAAGGAATCATTTAAATGGTACTTTGTCAAAAGAAATGTGCCTTCAACTCCCTTTGCTAGAAGTCTTTTTTATGATAATTATTTTGAGGGATGCATTATATTCGAAAATTAATATGTAACTACTCATCTTGGAAAGAATTATATTTGATGTCCAACTCATTTATAGGTACGTAGTTGTGTGAGTTAATTTTTTTCTAATATTTTTCTCCAATAAATTCAATGTAAAAAAGAATTTATTTTTCATCATCTCATTCATACTATACATTCATGTAATGGTTGATTTTATCTTTAAAAAATGTATATTATTCTGTCATTTAAACTTTCTTGAAGTGCTTGTCAAAATGATTAAGCCTTACAAGGCACAGATATGTTTTTTTTTTATATTCTAAATTATATATTAATTTTATTATTTATTATTATTTTCTTACAAATCTTTTATTTCTAGATTATGTTATTGAATTCCAAAGTCAATTATGAATTAAATAAGTGTTGATTATGTCAAGTCGTTAGTACCTAAATAATATCGTGGATCAACAAACATATTTGTAACGTGTTTATTGGTTTATCCGCTATTCATCTCCTCTAAAATAAATTTCAAATGATATTTTGCTTTTCATCGTTTCATTCATTTTGTATGTCATATAATGTTTTTTATTTTTCATGACACACACTCATGCAATGGTGGGGGCACAATTTCCCAGTACAAAATTTTGATAGTGAAACAAAATATTGAATCAATTGGTGAAAAACATTCCCAGTGCAACTAACTAACTGGATATCTTTAAAAGATTATATATTTGAAAAGATTTTGCAGCATATAGGTGACAAGCCTCTAAGATTGGTTAATTTTGATTATTTGTTTTCTCTATAATGATCTAATCTTAATATCTTATACAGAATATTATAGAAAAGATTGACTCATTGGTTTTGATGCTTCTATCTTTCCTTTTATCAAATGGGAATTTTCTTTCTTTCTTTCTTTTTTAATATGCAAATATATAAAAAATTACACGTCATTAATTATTCAGGAGGGAGAAGAAGAAGGAGAAGAAAGAATCCAGCAAGTGATTGCAATGACGGCACTTGGTGGATGGTGGTGGGCGGGTGCCGTTCTTGTCGTTTTAGAGATCATAACATGTTAGAACTTAGAAGGGTCCAAATTTACCATTTTCGTACATTCATTTATTTAAAATAAGATTACTAATGTTGATTAAATTATGTTGAAATAGTATGTACGTATGATAATAAATTATCTAATAAATAAAATGATCAAGGGTTCAAATTCTAGTTCTTACGTGCCTAGAGAGCAAGTTAATTTGGTATGATCTGCTTTTACTTACTTGGGAAAGATTAGTCTATGCTACCTATTAAAAAGCATTGTGGGAGCTTCTGTTAAAAAGCTTTCACTGTCTATTATTATGCATACTTTTAATGTATCCCTCACATTAATCTATACACGTAGTGCTTATTCTATACTGCCTCATTTACAGGTATATTTGGACATTGAATATATTCAATATATTTGGACAACAACTCATTTACAGGTATGCACTTGTGTACATATGTGTG